GTGATCCGCCCGTCTCGGCCTCCCAAAGTGCTGGGATTACAGGCTTGAGCCACCGCGCCCGGCCTAAAGGTATTCTTAAGCCACAAACAATAGCATGGGCGATCTGTGCCTTAAGGACGTGCTCCTGCTGCAGATAACTAGCCCAACTCATCCCTTTATTTCGGCCCATCCCTTCCTTTCCCATAAGGGATACTTTTAGTTAATCTAGTATCTATAAAAACAATGCTAATGACTGACTTGCTGTTAATGAATATGTGGGTAAATCTCTGTTCAGGGCTCACAGCTCTGAAGGCTGTGAGACCCCTGATATCCCACGTCACACCTCTATATTTCTGTGTCTTTAATTCCTCTAGCACCGCTGGGTTAGGGTCTCCCCAATCAAGCTGGTCTCTGCACAGAAGCAACTTTGGAACTGGGTAACAGGCAGAGGTTGGAACTCAAGGCTCAGAAAAAGATGGGAAAATGTGGGAAAGTTTGTAACTTCCTAGAGACTTGTGAAATGGCTTTGACAAAATTGCTGATAGGGATATGGACAATAAAGTCCAGGCTGAAGTGGTCTCAGATGACAATGAGGAACTTTTTGGGAACTGGAGCAAAGGTGGCTCTTGTCGTTTTAGCAAAGAGACTGGTGCCCTAGAGATTTGTGGAACTTTCAACTTGAGAGAGATGATTTAGGGTATCTGGCAGAAGAAATTTCTAAGCAGCAAAGCATTCAAGAGGTGACTTGGGTGCTGTTAAAAGCATTCAGTTTTATAAGGGAAGCGGAACATAAAAGTTCAGAAAATTGGCTGGGTACGGTGGCTCACGCCTGTAATCCCAGCATTTGGGAGGCTGAAATGGGTGGATTACCTGAGGTCAGTAGTTTGAGACCAGCCTGGCCAACATGGTGAAACCCCATCTCTACTAAAAATACAAAAATTAGCTGGGCCTGGTGGTGAATGACTGTAATCCCAGCTACTCAGGAGGCTGAGGCAGGAGAATTGCTTGAACCTGGGAGGCAGAGGTGGCAGTGTGCCGAGATCACGCCATTGTACTCCAGTCTGGGTGACAAGAGTGAAACTCTATCTCAAAAAAAAAAAAGGAAATCCCATTTTCTGAGGAAAAATTCAAGCAGGGTGCAGAAATTTGCCTAAGTAACGAGGAGCTGCATGTTAATCCCCAAGACAATGGGGAAAATGGAGACTGTTTCTAGAGCATGTAAGAGGTCTTCATAGAAGCCCCTCCCAGCACAGGCTCAGAGGCCTACAAGGAAAAAATGGCTTCATAGGCCAGGCCCAGGGTCCACACGCTGTGTGCAGTTTAAGAATTTGGTGCCCTGTGTCCCACCTGCTCTGGCTGTGACTAAAAGGGGCCAAGGTACAGCCTGGGCCATGGCTTCAGAGGGTGCAATCTCCAAGCCTTGGCAGCTTCCACATGGTGTTGAGACTCTGGGTGTACAGAAGTGAAGAACTGAGGTTTGGGAACCTCCACCTAGATTTCGGAGGATGCATGGAAATGCCTGGATGTTCAGACGATAGTTTGCTGCAGGGGCAGGGCTCTCATGGAGAACCTCTGCTAGGGCAGTGTGGAAGGGAAATGTGGGGGTGGAGCCCCCACACAAAGTCCCTGCTGGGGCACCACCTAGTACAGCTGTGAGAAGGTGGTCACCGTCCTCTAGACCCCAGAATGGTAGATCCACTGACAGCTTGCACCGTGTGTCTGGAAAAGCCGCAGACACTCAATATCAGCACGTGAAGGCAGCCAAGAGGGAGGCTGTACCCTGAAGAGCTGCCCAATACCATGGCAACCAACCTCTTGCCTAAGCATGACCCAGATGTGAGACATGAAGTCAAAGAAGATCATTTTGGAGCTTTAAGATTTGACTGTCCTGCTGCATTTCAGTCTTGCATGGGATCTGTAGCCCCTTTGTTTTGGCCTATTTCTCCCATTTGGAATGACTGTATTTACCCAATGCCTGTACCCCCATTGTATCTAGGAAGTAACTAACTTGCTTTTGATTTTACAGGCTTGTAGGTGGAAGGGACTTGCCTTATCTCAGACAGACTTTGGACTGTGGACTTCTGAGTTAATGCTGAAATGAAGACTTTGGGGAACTGCTGGGAAGGCATAATTGGTTTTGAAATGTGAGGACATGAGATTTGGGAGGGGTCAGAGGCAGAATGATACGGTGTGGCTGTGTCCCTACCCAAATCTCATCTTGAATTGTAACTCCCACAATTCCCATGTTTCGTGGAGGGAGCCCAGTGGGAGGTAACTGAATTATGGGGGAAGGTCTTTTCCATACTGTTTTCATGATAGTGAATAAGTCTCATGAGATCTGATGGTTTTAAAAATGGGAGTTTCCCTGCACAAGCTCTCTCTCTCCTTGTCTGCAACCATGTGAGACATGCCTTTCACCTTCTGCCAGGAATGTGAGGCCTCCCCAGTCACGTGGAACTGTGAGTCTAATAAACCTCTTTCTTTTGTAAATTGCCCAGTCTCGGGTATGTCTTCATCAGCAGTGTGAAACTGGATGAATACACTATCTGTGGCTGATTTTAAAAATTTTGTTATTTATTACTATTATTTTTTTAGAGACAGGGTCTCACTCTGTCACCCAGGCTGGAGTGCAAGTGGCTCAAGCATAGCTCACTGTAGCCTCAATCTCCTGGGCTTGAGTTGTTCTCCCATCTCAGCCTCCCCAGCAGTTGGGATCACAGGTATGTGCCACTACGCCCCACTTTTTTTCAATTTTTTTGTGGAGATGGGGTCTCGCTTTGTTGCCCACATTGGTTTAAGTCTTCAGTTTCTTCAATTCCCAGTACATTTTTCTCATCTCTGAGGTTCGACATGAAGCACCTGAGAGAAGCTGCAATATTATGAGAGTTGTGTTTTCAAACTGGTGGGGTTTGTTTTGTTTTGGGTCTGGAAAAGCCTTATGTCTCAGTGACATCTTGTGGAGAAGCAAATATAAAAAGCAGAAATCCAGATCCCTGTGCGATGGGGGCTCATGGGGGCAGACAGCCTAAAGGACTGTGCGGGCCTCTAATGACCCAGTGCGGGGCAGCTGCACTCCTGAGGATGGAGGTGGCCAGTGTGGGCCCTCAATGGGTGCTGGAACCGCCTGGGACCTCTTGGCCCAGAGCAAACCTGCTGTGTGCTGGCACACCTAGGCTGATGCTAAAAACACCAGGCTCACCCAGCTAATGCCCTGGACATCTAGGGTGGCCCTGGTGCCTTCCTAAGCCCTCCCAGGCTCCAGAGTTAGAGGCAGGGGTCCTTACAAAGGAGGTACAGGACGAAGTGATAAGCACATCCCCAAAAAGGTAAGGCCCCCATTGGAACACGAGGAGCATGAAGCTTACCTGAGGAGTAGGAGCTGGTCCAGCCGAGGGGGCTGGCACCCCAGGTGGAGGAGGGCTTGGGATTGGTTAACCCTGGAGGTGGCCTCGTGGGTGCAGTAGTGTTTCTGGGCACCTTCCACAGTTCATGAGACAGAGAGGCTTGCGTGTGGGAGGCAGGGCCAGAGGACCACGTCGATTTAATGTCTGACAGTTTACCTAGAAAGGCAGAGAGATGGAGAATACGCAGTCTTGAGACAAACACCGCTGTGTTTGGGGAGCCACACAGAGTGCTCTCTAACACCAGCAGACTGTGTGATAGGTAAAGAAACACCAAGTCAAGCCCCTGGCAAACTCAAGTAACTGCAAATTCCCAGAAGTGTTTTGCCTCTAAGTTTTCAAAACCTTGCATACCCCTTGTCTTGTGGCCATGGGGGAAAGGAAGAGAAAAGGCAATGGGCCCACACACTTGTATGGAGAAGATGTCACCACTTCCATGTGTGTGCAAGCTGATGTGCCCAAGGTGCCCACTGTGCCTGGGCAAGGCCCCCACCCATCCTCTATCATGCCACACGGCCTCCCAGCTCAGGGAGTGAGTGAAGAGCCAATAGGAAAAGCTGGGGCCTGTCAAAGTTTTGTTTGGGGAAAGAAAGAAAATGCTACCTGCAAGTCTAGAGGCTAGGCGCGTACCTGCAACGCTAGGTGCGGATGCAATGCTGCTGAAAGAGCTACTGTAGCCGGAGGCACTGAGCGGCCAGGCACTCGAGGAAGGCAGCGTGGCATTCTGAGATGATGGCGGGGAGGACCCTGCAGAACCAAACACGGCACTGAGCAAGGTGGTGGCGGTGTCCGGGTTCGTGACTCTAACTGCGGGGTGTGAGAATCTTAACCATCAAGAATCAACCTCTCCCTAGGCTGCCATTTTTAATAGAAGCCTGAACATGAAAGTGTCATGTGGGAAGGAAGAAACAGGGCATGCCTCCTATTCTGGGTCCCTGTAGCCACTCAGGGAGGCCTGGGATGTTGCTGAAGGCGGAGGAATCAAAGGGCAAGCAGCAGCATGAGCTTCTTTGAGAATTCCCGCCAGAATGCTTAAAATGCCATGTCAGAGTTTTAAAGCACCACATTGATTTCCTCTCCCGAATAAGATAAAATAAAAATCCAGGGCAATCTACTCCTTTCACACTTCAAACAATGGCTACAAAATAGAAGAACAAAACTCCAAGCCATTCATTACAAAATGTGCCATAAAAATTTGAACATTTCTTCTGACTGGGGTGTCCCATCAGCTTCCGAACTCGTATTTTGCTTAAAAATTTTTTTTTTTTTTTAGAGATGGGGCTGTTGCTATGTCACCCACGCTGCAGCACAGTGGCTGTTCACAGGCGTGATCACAGTGCACAGCAGCCTCAACCTCCTGGGCTGGGTGATCCTCTTGCCTCAGCCTCCTGAGTGGCAGGGACCACAGGTGCCACCACACCCGGCTCATGATTCCCTTTTTAAATACATGAATAATTAAGAGACATCTGTCCTAATAACTGTGTATATGGACTTGAGTTATTCTATCCCTAGGACTGTAGTTTTTTGAGGAAAGCTTGTCCCTGTGCCTGAAAGGGAGACTTGGGGTAAATGGGCCATCCTTCAGGCACCTCGATCCCTTGTGTGAAAGCTCAGCTCCTCGCTGCTTGGTTTTATTTTGTATTTTCTAATGTGGCTCTCCCTTTCAATTCTGTGAAGAAAGCAAGAAGCTGGAGAAGAGTGAGGACGGAGTAACGGTGACAGCTGGGGTGAATGCAGGATGGAAAGAGCTCTCACTGGGACAATAACTCTGCCAGGGCATGGATCCTGGCTAGCAGAGGGAACATAAGCACAGTCTGGCTGTTAAACTGATGACCACACACAGAATCGGATGGTTTCTGAAAAGCCATGGCATCTCAGCTGTAGGCCCACATGACGTTGTGCAGTGAATAACCAGGCGTGTGGCACCTCCTGGACACATGCAGTGTCCAACCTGCACAGTTGTTTGCAGCTGCCCTGCTGCAAGTGACCTCTTTCGAATGAGGGCACCAGAGTTGAGGAAAGTTAGCATTTATGGGTAATCTGCAGGTCTTCACTTTTGTTTTTCCGATTTTTAGTTTGGGTTCTGGGAGTCCACGTGCAGGCCTGTCACGCAGGTGGACTGTGTGTTGTGGGGGTGTGCTGCAGAGATCAATGCATCACCTAGATAGTGAGCATGATCCTCCCCTTCCTCCCACCCTCTACCCTCCAACAGGCCCGCTGTCTGCCGCTCCCTTCTTTGTGTTATGTCAACTCAGGCTGTCTGTTTTCTGTTCCTCTGTTAATTTGCTCAGGAAGGTCTTTACTTTAAAGAGGTGTCAGCTTGACCAGGCGCAGTGGCTCAGGCATGTAATCCCAGCACTTTGGGAGGCCTTTTCTTTTCTTTTTTTTTTTTTTGAGACGAAGTCTTGCTGTGTCACCCAGGCTAGAGTGCAGTGGCCCAATCACAGCTCACTGCAGTCCTGACATCCCAAGCTCAAGTGATTCTCCTGTCTCAGCCTCCTGAGTAGCTGGAATCACCGATGTGTGCCACTACACCCAGCTAATTTTTTCATTTTAAATTTTTTGTAGAGATAGGGTCTCATTATATTGCCCAGCTGGTTTCAAATTCCTGGCCTCAAGTGATTCTCCCACCTTGGCCTCCCAAAGTGCTGGGATTACAGGTGTGAGCCACTGTGCTCAGCCTGCTAGTGCTTTCTGGTTAGCAACTTCTACGTGAAGAGATGTTCATTGTACTCCCCTTTCTTTCAGTAACAAACCCTAATGTATCCTTAAATACAACCAAGAGAGGTACCAGAGTGGAGGAACAAGGTTCCTAGTGCTGGTCATGAGCTGAAGGGGAGGCCTGGCATGAGCCACCTGAGCTGGCTGCTGCTGAATACTGATGTTTAGAATACTGATGTTTGTGCACAAGTGCCAGGGGAGGCTCAAGACCCAAACATCAAGCACCCGGGAAGTCAAACGATGTTCACTTGGAGCTACAAGTCACCCAGGTTGGCTGGCTGGCTGGTTCTTAGGCTCAGGGTTGGAGATGCCACTGCCTTGCCTTATCTCAATGGCCAATGCATTTCTTAGGCTGAGGTTCTCTTCTGCCCTCCCCGCAAGTTGATTTCCTTAACTGGACAGGCTATGGAGCTGGAGCACAGCTGCATGTGGAGCTGGAGAACAGCTGCCACGTGTTTCTCAGGCCATCTTCATCACATCATGGCACACTCAGGCGATGGCGGAGGCCACTCCCAGTGGCCCTGGTTCTGCCTGGAGGCTAAGGGGCCACTTGATCCTTCATCTGGGCACCACTCAGGGAGCTCTGCCATGTATTAAGCAACTTTGATTCTTTCCAACTTCCCTTATGACCTGGATCTGTACAACCTGCATCCCACTTCTCCACAACCCTCAAAATATGGTAACTTTCCTGTCTGGCACAACCCTGGTGCCCCACCAGGTGTGACAAGCAGGGAGGGCTGGGTCTCTGATTCTGGCTGGCGCCTCACCTGTCCTCTGCCACACGGCTCCCTTTTGGGCACCACTTGACTGTGTCTGACAGCAGGGACACCCATAACACCCCTGCTCTGAAAAGCAGCTGCATCCGAAAAGCAGCTGCATCCGAAAAGCAGCTGTGTAACCCCAAGGAATACACAGCATTAAACAGACAGGGCAATCTGTACTCATGTTGGCTTTCCAGTCAAAGATACATTGAGAAGCCTATCACTTTAAAGAACCACAGAAGCAGTCAGATACACTGGCTCACGCCTGTAATCCTAGTACTTTTGGGAGGCTGAGTCAGGTGGATCACTTGAGGTCAGGAGTTCGAGATCAGCCTAGCCAACATGGTGAAACACCGTCTCTACTAAAAATAGAAAAAATCAGCTGGGTGTGGTGGTGCACACGTGTAGTCCCAGCTACTCGGGAGGCTGAGGCATGAGAATCACTTGAGCCTGGGAGGCGGGCGGAGGTTGCAGTGAGCCAAGATCACGCCACTATACTCCAGCCTGGGCAAACGAGCAAGAATCTGTCTCAAAAAAAAAAAAAAAAAAA